AGACAGAGTTTCTGCAATGATTCAGTTTGAAGAAAGCATAATATCAGAATGGTAATTTGAAGATGAGGTGGTGCATGGGAGTAAGCTGATTGACACAGTAAATAAGTTCAGACCCTGGCAAAACGCTGCAGCTGCTCCCTCTAATGTGCTAATGTGAGCGACTGATCTGTATTACTTTGTAGCTTAAGCGCTCAGTTTATCCTGACCCGTCTTTTTAAACACCAAGTTTATGATAGGACTTCATCTCAAGGAGGGCTTTCTGCTCATAAATGGGTCACTTGTAGTAAATGAAGATTAGACGTAGGGTTTAATAAATGCTCACTTACTTTCTCAAGGGAGATTTTTTTTCCCCCTTCTCTGTGAAACAAATTAGATTTTGTTTATATGTCATCCCTGGACATCCTTTCAGACTGCAGCCATGTGGCCAAGCAAGAAAAGGCCACATCTTAGCACCATTTTGTCCTTATCAGATTAGTAGTCTTTAAATACATCTGTCATACACAGGCAAAACATGGTTTCCCTCCAATTGATTTCTTGTCACAATCCCCCCCTCAGGGCCTTCCTACTAATGCTGCTGGAATTCCTTTCATTTGTCAAGTCACTTTTTTCTTATTAATCGTCTTAGATGTGTTTAAGATGATAAGGGACACTTATTGCTTCCTCCCTGTAAGTAATCAACTTTAAGAAATTACATTTTGTTGAGAAATATGATCCAGGCTTAGACATCTTCATTCTCTTCTGTGAATGCTTTACACTGTATTTCAACCTCATTTTCTGATGAAATGGAAAGTGAAAATACAGATTTACAGATTTCACATTTAGTAGCTGGTAGTTGCCATGACAGTAACAGTTATAGATTGTACATTTTGATGTCTGTTTGAGGGACAGATGTATGGACATAACTCAAAGAGAGACAATCGGACACATAAACCAGACCCAGAAGGATGTAGTGACACAAAATAAATGCAAAATATGATCTTACGGGACTTTTTGGCCCCGCTCCTGACGTCTAACAGTGCACTGTTGTCGTAGAATAAAAGAACAAACACTGATTTCTATTGTAACAAATATACTATAGATACATAAAAGGATTTATATATACCATGGGCAGATATTGGCTATGACTTTTAACCCTATCAACCAACACCTTCTCTTCTCAATCTCAAAGATACTTAAAAGAATAGTCACACATTTTGGGGAAGTCTCCGCTGGATGCTTGACAACCTCACATTTAGATATATTGTATATTTTAGTGATATTGTGTGTTGATTAGTGAGATTCAAAGGTGCTGGTAGGCAGAATTTTGTAGGTTTAGACAGAGCTAGGCTAGCGGTTTCCCCTTACTTCCAGTCTTTATGCTAAGCTAACTGGCTGCTGGGTATAGGTTCATATTTAATGGACAGAGTGGTATCGATCTTCTCACCCAACTCTCAGCAGGAAAACATAAATGTCAACATAAACCTTTAAACTTGTAGAAAGTGAATTCTTTACAGTGAGGTTGCATTTGAATTATGCCAGTATGTTCAATCACCAGTGTAAATGTAATCCCCACTTTAAAGACACTAAAATTAGACAAGAAAATAATATACATTATTTATTTTAGAGAGAGTCAGCCAGATAGTACAGGTCACTGAATTTTTGGAAGCTCCCAATTATTTGTCCCTTTGTCATTTGTCTATCTAACCAACCAACCAACCAGTAATGGTGAGAAAACGGGCCAAATGTTGAAAGTACATCCATATTAAGCTGGGGTTTTTCTCCCTTGAGTCGACCATCTCCTTCCTCTTTATTTATTAAAAACATTTTCTCTCCCTCTCTGTTTGGAGAGACATAAGCTTCTTAATCTATGCGCTCAAAGATACAATACAGTGATCAAATTTATTTGTTTCCACTTATTATATGCTTTTTTTAATTTCACTATTTTTAGTTTGTATTTAGCATCACAACGAGACTATGGATTGCATATTCCAGATAGTGTTCTTCTGTGGTCTGTTTCTTAACCTACTGCACTTGTAATCTGTTGTAAGAACATGTTTTTATAAGGGATTAATTTAGCAATCATGACCTCTTTTATCAGATGGTAATTTTCTGTTTTTCAAACTTTGAGAATATGTAGCCTCTTGTGAATAGGGATTAAAAGATTATTTTTAGACTATTTGTATTATGGTGAATAAATGATACCACACAACATATTACTGTACATCATGGTGGAGCCTCTCCTGTAAACTGTCACTCAGTGCATCGTCTCTTTGTCTCTGCAGAAACTCCTTTTATGAGTCACTGAAACAGATCGGCTCAGCCCAACACCAGGGACAGGCAACTGGAATGGGAACATATGAGACCATTCAGCACTTCAACGACATCAAGGAACATCTGCACACGGTCAAAAGGGACATGGAGCACCTGGTGCAGCGTAATGCTCAGGTACGGCTCAGAGAGTTGAATCTCACTTAGAGCAGTTAACAAACTAGGTCAGGATTCAGTTGACTGAACTTTGCTTTTTTTCTGCGTCTTTTCACCTGCAGAATCCTGCTGAAAAGGTTGTCAAGTGCCCTGAGGTGCCTCCTATGCCTTCGTGCTTATCCACTGTTCATTTTACAATCTTCATTGTCATCCAGTCAGTCCTGTTCTTCTGCTACATCATGTACAAGTAAGACGTCATTGTTTTTTTTATTTGGCTTTGTGTAAGTGTTCTTTTAGATCTAAAGGATTCTCTAATACTTTGTGTCTCTTCTTTTCTCTTGTAGAAGTCAACAAGAAGCCGCAGCAAAGAAGTTCTTTTGATGAAATGTATTTCTGATATGAAAGTTTGTAAATGAGGGAATGTCCATTTTGGTAATTTTTTTTTGGTCTGATTATTTTCAGGTTGTAAGTTATTGTACTTGAAAAATTTGGTTTTGTTGAAGACAAGTTTGTTTTAATGCAGATTTTTAATTTGATTGGTAAATCGTTGTGTATGAATGCTAGTGTGAGACTTAATTGGTCTGGATTTCCAACATGATGTTATATGTTCCTTACAGTATTTTTGGTTGGTCAGATCCCTAGATTATGTTTTACAAAGCTGATATCTGCCACAGCCCCATTCCACAAAACTGAACTGGCAACAAAAAAACCTGTGTTTTGAAATGTGCAATTTTGTATAAAAAAATGCTGAACTATTGGTGATGAAAACTCAGAACAGACGGCTGCTTCTGTTTATATGCTTTGACTGGGTCAAACGTGTCAGAATCTGACATATCCTCTACCTGAACAATTTACATAAACAGAGAACACAAACTACTCTGTGGTGTCTGCTTATTGCTTCATCAAGTGAGGTACACTTCACACAAGATGCATCTACATTGAAAAATGTGTCTTCTGTTCATCTGTCATTATAACAGCAGTTTATTCCAGTTAGCAACTACAGTACTTACTTACAGTACTACATGTTTGAGCACCACAGAAGAACAGCAGCAAGTGATGTTAATACAAAATATCTACAGCCATACTAGCAGCTCTGTGAGGCTGACTTAGCACAGCAGCTAGCTGCATTGAGCTAAATGCTCACATCAGGATGCCATCTATTAGCACAAAGTACAGCTGAGGCTGATAAGAATATCATTAGTTATTAGTTAGTTAGGTATTTGGTCATTTATTTGGCCATGAACAAAAGTATTGGACAGGATAAAATGATGATGGTGCTTGATGAAAAGTTCACCAAACTTATTACAAAACATTATGATGTCAAGTGAACCACATTTTATGACAATCCATTCAATAGTGGTTGAGACATTTCACTTAAAACCAGAAACGCCAAGCTCACAGTAGCACTAGATGAAAAGTCAAGGGATCACCAAGTCATTAGAATTCATTTTCTGGGAACCATGAATGTCTTTACAAATTTTCATGGCAATTCATCAGCTATTTGTTGAGATGTTTCAGTCTGCACCAAAGTCATGGAGCAACATGTATTAATAGTCAGTTCAGTGGGAAATAACATAATTGTGACTGTTTGTGAAGCGCTGCTGCTGTCGTGGCAATATCAAAAATACTGGATTACATTTCCAGCCAAAGGAAACCTGAAATCGTATCAGGGATTATATACACACTGAAGCAGCTTCATCTTTCTTTCCACGAGTAACACTGAACATAAATTATATATAATACATTCTATAGCATGTATTACAGGTTCTTTCATATGAATGTGTAGATGTAGCAAGAGTTAATAGAGCACATGGTAATGGAGACCAGAGCTTCCTTCAATTTCTCACATGCATTAAACCTATTTATCAATGCTGCAGCCCTGCAGACAGCAACAATAGGTGGATTTTTTTTTTTAAATCATGCCTATCAGTGCCAAAGAGGCAAAACATATACATCCTTGCTCCTCCATGTGTTTTATTAGGTGATCGCAAAATAAAAAAAATGATTTATATTTAGAATAACTTTAGATATTATTAAAAATATTCAATTGCAGATGAGCAATTGACAGCTCAAAAATATGGAGATAATCTAGAAATCCTCCAATCTTGCAGATCTGATGGGGTGATATGGTATCTCCTCCCCGTCTCTCACCCTCCTGTCAATCTTCCTTCCACAGAACAATAGCACGGCATGAAGGACAGCGCCAGTGGGGATAAACAAGACTGTAATCCCGCTCCTCTCTCTCTACTCTGCTTGGTCTCAGCAGTATAAGCTGCACACGGGCCAGCCCGTACTTTACTAATATGATTAAGCAACAGTGGGTGGAAGCAGCATATGTGTATAGTCACAAACCAAGGTCCTCCATCTCCAGAACTATTTTTCTTGTGAATAGTGCACATAGCTCTCTCAAAGAATGCACTATGTATCAAAATTAATAAAGGTAAAAACATTCACAAAGGTCTGCACGATTTAAAAATAGAGAGAAAACAGGCCATCTGCCTCTTAGTATAGTGGAGCAGGGAGGATTAAATCCAGATTATGGACGAGGCAAAACGCTGTGTGTGTAAGTGTGTGTGTACGTGTCTGTTGCCTGTCATCAGTGTGTCCTTGGCTCCATAGACAAGCAGCAGGTTAGCAAGAGAGCTACCACTGGATTTGACAGCTATAGGAAGCCAAAGCGGAGGGCACCATAAGGGGAGCAACATTATTTTCATCTCGAAAGAAGAGTAAACAGTCACATAACTCAAGATGGCTTTCTTGATCAAGAGCATGATTGGGAACCCCCTGTCAGGAATGGGTCTTGGTGGTGGAGGTGACAAAGAAGAGGAGGCCACCCCCTCAGATCCAGCCAAAGCAGCAGGGATGACACGAGAGGAGTATGAAGAGTACCAAAAACAGGTGGTGGAGGAGAAGTAAGTAGTGACACGGACATTATGAATTCATGCCATTGGTCCATGGAAAACAGTATGGCTGCAGAGTGTACAATCTGACCTTGACAAGCTGCTATCTACTTCATCTCTGTTTAATACTCCCTGTTTCGCAACCACATTTAACCATAATATTCACATCTGACCCTGACTAAATGTAAATGCCAATGAATTTATACTTTTCGTATACATACAATGAGTTTTTGAAAGATGCGATTGTTGCTGAAGGTCAAAGCATGGTGCCTCCAAAGAGGACCTTTGCTTCTTTTTCCAGAATTTTCTACATAATAATCCATTGAGGCTAAAGGTCGTGCATGGACCTGGATCAATAATCTCTCATAATGGTTCATCTGTTTCTGCATCAAGAACAGTTATGGGTAACATTTTGAGGGACTTTATAGTTTAAAACACAATCTAATGTGCAGTTTTATTACATGGACGTTAGAGCAGTAAATGTTGCAGCATTTGGTTAAGGACGGTCTGTGGTGGTGCAGCAAAGGCAAACGATAAAAAGTCTGCACAATTATATTTATTTATACACTATCACTTTAATTTACTTACGGAATATCTATTGTATTTATTCTAACAGACTGGTATGAGCAGCAGGTAGCTTGGATTTATTCACCACCATGTTGTTGCCCACCGATGCTATGGTCAGTTTGTCTTATACAAAGATCCAGTTCTTTTGACTAAAGCAGATATTTCAGTAATAAAATGTGCGACAATCTGATGAATGCATCCTGAATTGCATTTGAAGAGATAGTGTAAACTGTGTATATTTGACAAATATAAAGGTGGACTTCAGTGAAAGTAGATTTTGCAGCATCAGATCCAGTCAGTCCGTATTACATAACAAGATTAATCCACCCTCTCTACTCTCGTGTTTTGGGAATTAATTCATTGTTTAAAAAATGACAACATTCTCCATAACTGTAGATTTCTCACAGTGTATTCAAATAACTCCTGATGCAGACAACTTGATGGAAAGACCATGAAATACTATTAAACTTTGAAAATATCTGTAAAACCTGTCTGGCAAAAAAAGCGTAGTTTGTTGATGGTTTGTTAGAAACCTCTACTGTCCACTGTGTTTACAGTTCAAGTTGCAGCATCTTGGCTTGATTTCAAATCTGCTTGACTCAGTCTGGCCTAATAATCCCCATCTTTAATTGGCTGAGGGAAAGCACATGAATCTCGCCTTGAAAATACAGGAATACACAGAGTGCAGGTTGTCTACAACAAATGGTCTAAAGCATAATTCAAAGATACAAACACTTATTTAATAATGAAATAATCAAGAAACATGTTAAAATAATGTTTTCTGATGGTTTTAAATGTTGCAGACTTATATGTTGTTGATACTGGATTGTTAAGCACAGAATTTAGTCTCAGTGTGTATTTTATATTCTATTGATATGATAGGATCACCAACAGCGGCGTACCTGAAATTAAACATCACTAAGGCCAAAACATTCAATGACATACACTACACTACAGATTGCATGTCTGAGGAATACAAAACTGCAAAGTAACCCAGTGAAAAATCTAATTGAAAAAAGTGTTGGTAAATATTTTACTGCAGTAAGACGATATCAACTATTTGATGCCGTTTAAATAAGAATCTCTTGAAAACAACTATAACAAGAAAACTATTAGACTACAACATCAGCATGGACGCTCAAAAGTTTTGATGTAAATAATAGTTGATGGATTAAAGCCAGTGCAATATTATACACTAATGGTAACAAAACTTTATTGAGAACATATTGAGACCATACTGGTGAAATCTAAAATGTTACTACAGATTTGATTAACTGCTTTAATGACGTTCAGGTGAACTGAACCAAAGTTGGGGATATTGTGATGATCTGAACTACCTCTCTGTTGTTTATCTGATCAGGCTGATGTCTGTTCACATCAGGCTGGGTGAAGATACAGTTAAAGCTTTTTGTTTTATGAAAATCCTGATGCTGAAAATGTCATTCTGAATCAATGATGCAATGATGACAAACAAAAGCTCAAGGTTGTAAAATCCCACCTTTCTTGCAGCTTTTCCCTTTGTATGCTCCAGAGAAGAGATTAACAGAGATAAAGTTTTTACTTTAACCGGTACAGGATGTTTTTGTGACCAACAATAACAGTCACTGTACTAATAAAATTTTTATGTCTATCTCAGGATGGAGAGAGATGCAGATTTCTTACACAAGAAGGCAGAGAGGGCGACACTCAGGGTCTGCCTCAGAGATAAATACAGACTGCCAAAGGTAAGCACCTGAGGGTTTATAGCCCTACAACTGTGGTGAAACTCATATTTCAAAATCTGATTTAATACTATACATAAATACATTCCCCTCACAAGCAACACAAACGCAAAATGGTTGACGACAAGGTAAACATTTTCAAGGCAACACGCATTTATAAGCAGTCTATAAAAAAATATATAAATGCTTTATAACACATTATAATATAATTGTAAACAGATATAAGGATATCTATTACTATTTATTAATGTACAGTTTAACATTGGTTCGATATATTGTCATGTACTGGATGTTTATAGACCAGCCTCCAATTAGAGGTTTAATTGTTGATAAATACATAAATAAACACTTATATCTGCTTACAGCTACATTTTAGTGTCCTCTACACCCTTATTACACATTTATATACTGCTTATAAATACTAAATAGGCAGTGTTAAAGTTAACCATTTCCCACTGGAACAATTTTCATATTTTTCATTACATTACATTCTCCTTTTCTCAGTATTTTAATACAGACTGGTAAAAAATAACAGACCTTTCTTATTAAATGGCTTTAAGTCAAATAGCTGTTTCATGGTTAGTTGAAGTTGCCTTTATCTAACAGCACCACTTGGCAGCTGCTGCCTGGACAACAGGAGGTGGAAGCCATGCCAGTAGATTAGTGACAAAGACGTTCGACCAACGTCCTGGAGACGTTAGCCTATGAGTCCCATATTGCATCTTGAGTCTTACAAAGCCAAATGCCACTGAGCAGGTGTCCCAGGCTCATTAGGGAGCAACAGGCAGTGTGAACTGGCTTTAAGGAAGAACAACATCTACTTTAGTGGATGTAAACTCAGAGAAAAGGGACTCTTCAAGAAAAAAAAGCTGTAATGGAAGGAGCACAAAAGGTATGTTGGGATTTTATTTAAGACTTTTAAATATAAATACCGGTATAGAGCCTTCTAATCCTTATACATTAACTTAGTGCTGAAGCCTTGCTTTTAATGAACTGTGTGTTTTTATGGCAAAAGATCAAAATCAATCTAAAACATGTTTTCGAATACCAATATTTTTGCAACCACACCATGATTTTATGATTTTTATTCATCTGAATGCAGTGATGACCTTGGCTGCTGGAGGCATTTCTAATAGTCTCCCACAATATATATTCTATTGTTCATTTTCTGTTTTAGACAATGGCTACATTTCTTTTCGATGATTGTCTTTTAAATTGAAACCACACATAGAAGACAATGGCAGGTGGCTATATGTATAAATCTAATTATTCTCCTTAAATGATGTTTACATTGCATGTCAGTGTGAAAAGACCAAATGACAAAAGCCAAAGTGTCTTCATTAGAGCTGAAATATGCATTTTAAATGGATTTTCACCATCACAACAATAAGACACCTAAAGGCATCCTGTTCTGTTGATTCTTTTAACGGGTGGGGGTTGGGAACGAACATAAAATGCTGTGTATATAGTGTGTATATATATATATATATATTTCATGGCACAAGTGAACAGTATAACTGGAAACAGGGAGTTGGTGCCGTTTGTCTAATGGAATTAGGGTCTCGTGCGACACTATAGTAGTTATCTTTAGACTATCGTTGGGATTCAAAGAGGAAAGGCTAAGGCAGGTCTGAGATAATCCCACAGATTGAAGTTTAAAGTAGTCACAGTGCAGTGCCTATTGCATGACTATTCCAGATATTAAGTGATTAGATTTAGTTTGTTGAAAGGCTTTAAATTTAGCATTTCTGTGATGCAACACCACATAAGTGCAGAGATAATAAAGTCAAAGGAGGCTCAAGTCTGCTTCACAAAAATGTAGAAAACACAGACAGCAGAATATCCTCGAGTGCAGTCACTTGAGTTTGGATTAAGACAGATCCTAGAGTTCATCTATTTGTTTTTTTGGCTTACTTGCCTCATTGCTTGTTTAAATTTGAATTAGAACGCAGACAATTTTAAAGTTTTGAGCGTGATATGTCCTGTGATAAACCAAAGCCGATATGTGCAGTGTTTGTCAGATATGAGCATGTCAGTGGAACCAGGAATGTTTTGGAAACCAGGCAGCCATGGCAGAAAGTTAATCCTGTAAAAAGCCTTTAAGTCAGCCTGCAGGCGGTTGTTTACTTCTGCAAATAATAATTCAATACGATAAATATATAGGCCATATAGCCTAGTCTTTGTTACCACCAGGGAAAACAATCATCTCTGGTCCTTTACCAGTTCCAGTACAACACCAGAGGAAGCAGAAAACATTAAAAGTCCTACATGGTTCGCTAAAAGAGAGATTTCACGTATTTCTAAAATATAAAAAGATAAAACTAATTAAGAAAAAGATTGTTTCATATCGCATTTGTGGTTTATGTTTCTGTGTTTGGTGTGATGAAGAAGAGTTGTTGTGGTACTGCATAGGTATAACAACAGATGCTTCCTGACCTTGTTTTCTGCCTGATGTTGTCGTCTGCAGAGCGAGCAGGATGAGAACATGATTGAGATGGCCGGGGACGACGTGGACGTGCCCGAGGAGCTGCTCAAGATGGTAGACGAGGACGCCACGGAGGAGGAGGGCAAGGACTCCCTCATGGGCCAGATTCAAAACTTGCAGAACATGGACATGGACCAGCTGAAGGAGAAGGCCTCGGCCACCGTCACTGAGCTGAAGAGCAAAGCAGAGGAGAAATGCTCCGTCATGTGAAGAAGGGATGTGATGAGGAAGAAAAAAGGGAGAAGAGAATAACACAAGAAAATGAATTTCAACACTTTCTGGGAATCTACAGACAGAGCTGTGTTAAAAAGTCTGGGATTCAGTCACACTGTAAAACGCCTACAAAGCATTCACATCTATTATAAGCACTAAAAAAGGCTAATCACCTTCCTTAAATAAAAAAAAAAAAGCCTGGTCACACCATGGTGTTGTACTGTTACTGTTACCAATCTGCATCGATTTTAAAAGATTTTAAATCAAGTCCAAGGTGCCCCATCCCTACCCCATTATTGTTTTAGATAAATAATGTAGAAAATTGATTTTCCCTGAACATTCCCAGCAAAGTATTTCTTTTCAAATCTTTTTCGTATCTTCACAGGCCACACTACATTTCAAAAATGCTGATTATTGGTGGTATAATGATCACTTTTTCCGTTTGCTGTAAGATGAGACAGTTCAGTCTCTAAAACTGTTTTTCAGTCAAATAAATAACAATATACCCAGACTTGCTTATAAAAAAAAAAACCTTATTTACGTCCAAATCCAATCCTGAGTATTTCAACGTTCCTTTTGGTTTGTTGGTTATTCTAGATTTTTTTTGTATGTGGTGTTTGAATTAATTATGATATTTAGATTTTTTTTCTTTCAGTGTTATTACGAGTCTTGACATGTCGATTTACTGTTACTTTCTCCACATACACAGTTAAGCAGTTCAGTAAGCCTGAAACATTTGCAGAGACATTTGCAGATTTGCACAAATCATCATTTTAAAATACTGAATGATTTATTCCATACAAATGAAAACAATGTACATAAACACAGATGAAATATATGGAGGTACTTCAAACTGAGAAAACAAATGTATTGTTCAAATAAAGATGTATATTGAATACATGAAATATGTCTGTTCATGCTGTGATGCTGGAAAGCCTCTTCCTACACAAATAATTTATTAACGTGTCAGCCCAAGTGTTCAAACTTCATGTCTTTACTGTCTTTATGTGTGAATCAGGTACTATTAGTTGAATGATCAATAATTTTGGAAAAGACAACTTGTTATGCTTATTAACTGTGATGTTGCTGCATGGGGATTGATGGATTTCTCACTTGAATTGCTGGATGGTTTTTTTTAAAAATGGTCAGCCACCGAGAAATTCTACTGCCCAACCATTAAAAATAAATGCTTAGCCAACTATGATTAATCCCATGTACCTGAATCAAAGCTAATGCAGTGACTAAAGAAATGGGTCTTAATTTAATTGGGCATTATCCAAACACTTGTTAGGGATGATTAGGCAGAATGAGGGGGAGGAAGGAACGAACCCTCAACATTTAGAGTTTCACATGAACCCAAGTTAAAACGGCTGTGGATTTGTAAAGTCTGGAGATTACCATCTAATAGGATCAACATAGCCAAGGTTGTCAGCCTGTGCCCTCCCTCTCTCTCTCCCTCTCTCTCTCTCTCTCTCTCTCTCTCAAAGAGGATATCAGAGGACAAGTTGAAATATTTAGCTAAATTAGCCACATGTAATGCGTCAAAATAGAAAATTTGCTAAAAAAATAGTGAATCAATAGCCGAAATAATTGACAGTTGAAATATCAATGTTGTTGATATACTAATTATCAGCAGTGTTACAGACACACCTGTCCACATACTTCTGGTCAGGTTAGGAATCACTGCTGTACCTTCATATTTTCATAAATGTAAATTGGGAAACTTTTGTTTAGTGGTCTAGGGCAGCATTATCAGCAAAATATACTTATATACTGAGTATCAAAAGCAAAAATACTTCTAAATCATTACAGATGCATGAACATGTAAGCAACATTTTCTGTTGTCGGTGGTCAAGGTGGAGCTAACTTTGACCTACTTTATAAACTTACACTTTATAAACAGTTAAGTCTATGATAAATCATACAGGCTGACCAAATGTTTTGTATAATGTTTTGTAGTGCAGGAAACCGTACCATATTTGCCTGTCAGTAGTAGTAGTATAAAACTGCATGTAATTGAAATACTCAAGTAAAGTACAAGGACAAAATTGTACTTAAGTACTTGACTGAATGGACTCAGTTCCTCTCTGACACTGGCTTCTTATCATATTTTAAATAATATGGCCGAGATTTCAACATTATGGAAAGTCTTCTGGAAAATCTCTTCCTGTTTCTTCATGATAAAGTGGTGTGGACAGAGCCATGACCTCAGCATGCAACACCTTTGGGATGAACTGGAATGATGACTGCGAGCCAGGCCCTATCGCTTAACGTCAGTGCCCAACATCATTGATGCTCTTGTGTTGGAACCCGGCCCTGAATAATTAAGGCTGCTGTGGTTGGCAATTATTGGGTCTTTGGGTATAGGATTTGGGGTTTGGCCACATTGTGTAAGTTACTTTAAAAAAAAAAAAAAATAGAGAGACCTTTTGGGAAATAAACATTTTTGCTTTCTTTGCAAAGCATTTAGATGAAATGATTCATACCACTCTCATATCTGTGTGCTGAATATGAAAGCGGGAACAGCTCTTTGTTGGTAAGAAAATTCACTTACCAGGACTAATTAACATGTTTGTTTGTTAACTTGTTTGTTGTAGGCCTATCTGTACAAAAGCCACCCTGTGTCCAGACGAGACATAATCCAGCATGTAACTGCTCAGAAGAGTAACAGATTGGCATTTTACACTTTGGTTTATGAAGCGACTAAACAAATGAGATATAATGTTTTAAAATGATGAGTTTGAGAGGTGGATTTTTGTACCATTGGAATGGGCCAAGTTAAGATAAGTGGCTACGGATATAGGAGTGCTATCAATCTTCTCATCTAACACTCAGCAAGGCAGCAAAAAAGCATAGTTCCCATAATGCTCACGATTCAGTTCAGTTTCAGTCTCAAATTTCAAATAATCTGAACATTTTAGTTTCAACTTTTTTTGGTGTTAATTGGATTAAAGACAATTTGTTGACAGGTTGGAGGATCAGATGATTCCCACTGAGGGAAAAAGACGAGCTTACATCTGGATTTGGAAATACATTTGCAAGATTTTTAGGACTGAGAGAGAATTGTTTTCAAATGGAGTATGATTTGCATTATTTTACCACACACACTTTTTCTCTCCTCGCTGTCTCGTCATTATTGGGGTCGTGAACACTGGAGGTTATTATACTGACACAGAAGCTTTGTTCAGCCTGTGCACATGCAACTTTGAAGGCTAACTGGCAGCTGAGCGCTGAGATAATGAAACTGAATGTTCAGCTATTTACACAGGTCAAAAAATGTTTTAACAATGGAATTGAATCAATTCAATTAAACTTTTCCAACACTATACACATCTTAAAAACCTATTATCATGCTCTGTATGTGTGCCATAAACATCATCACAGCCGGCACCCAAAAACACAAGAGAGAATCTTTAAAAAGTTTTGTTGTATGAATAAACTTTTGCATATACTTGCGCCACAACTTTTTGCTGTTAATTAAAACAGAGCTCAGTTAGCATCTCTCAGGGTGCCCCTCCTCTCTCTGGCAAACAAAGGATAAGGTCACCTTCGGTGATTAGGAAAAGCTAAATAGTTCTAAGGGTTTTAACTCTTTTGAGTAAAATAATGTAATCCCCTTAAGCAGGATTACCACACTGCTGTCAATCTTTGTTTGCTGTTAAGTGGTTATAGTTATTGTTTGGGCTTTGTTGCCCTATTTGACTCAACACCTGTAGGAACTGGTTAAAGAAACTCTGCTCAGAGTTTAAGTCTTATGAATCATTAGCACACACTTTAAATGAATATAATTAGCCTATTAAAGTATTTCAGTTACTTGTATTCAACATGTGTCAAGAGGTGCAATATTTTGCCTTTACGTCAATAAAACAAATAATTCTTCAACTAAATCAAATGTCTATTCATTTTGGCGACAATATCTTGACGCTTTGATTAAATACTAAGCTCTCATCTTGCAATCCATGTCCTGACCAGAAATCTTGTAATTATGATTTTGTTGTACCTTAATCTGTTTGCCTAATCTTCCTCTCTTTTTTCCAGACTGACATGAACATGACATCTGGAGGAGTGGAAAGATGGTTTTAAGATTTATGTAAGAAGGTTTAGAGCCAGCACTGACTGATGCACTTGAGATGGGGAGGAGTTAGGGAGGGTGTGGAGGCTGGTGGTGGTAGTGCCTGCCCGGGCGCACAGTTACCCCTAAATCCAGCAGGGCCAAATCCAACAGGACGTCCTCTCTCTGACGTGCAGCGGGGGTGCCGTATGAGCACAGGGAGGGTGGGGGTCGTACAGCAGGCACTACTTTAAAAGCCCCCTCTGAAGATGCTCTCAAACCACTGAGCAAGCGGTCTTACTGCTGGTGTGTATCTTGTGCGCATGGTTTCCATCATCCCTCATAGTTTGAATTTTACAACTTTTCCAAACACAGGAGACGCGATAAATTTGGGAAGAAGTCGGACTGCGTGTAATTTTGACCATCTTTTGGACTGGACCGACCAATGTGGCTTCTTGGATCACCCTCCCAAGTCATGATGATGGATGAGCGCATGTCTCCCTCCGCACGCTCCGTCCAGAGCCCCGGGAACAACCCGTCCACAGTCCACAGCATAGAGGCGATCCTGGGGTTTAAAGAGGACACCATCTTCCATAAATCAGCCTCCTACAGCATGACGGAAAAAGTTCTGGTCAAAGATGCTGAGCGCAACGGGAATGTAATTGTGACTCCAATGAAGAAAAGTCATTACTCTGAAAGTTTTGACAGTAAGTGGATTCAGTTTTCTCCAAGTGTCAGGGTCAAGTGAGGTAATTTTAAGTTTTTCAAGTTTTTAAACTTTATATAATCAAACACTTTTACCCACTATTTCTCAAGAAAATCGTTTTCTGGAGTCAGATGTCGGGGCAATGAAACTATCTTAGAATTAAGAAATAAATAAGTAACAGTGAAAAAAGTAGCGCTGGTTTAACTAAAACCAGCAGAACTTGATTTAAGTCAGGGTTAATTTAAACTTGGACAACTCTTGAGCATTTCCGGATTTCTGCCTCGTTCCTCACACTGTCCTTCCTCCGCAGGTGTGTGTTGCGCCAGCAGCACCGCTGAAGCCTCGGTTTGCCCGGACTCCCCGGACAGAGACGGCAAACTGTCCGACGACGAAAACCCAAAGAAGAAACACCGTCGGAACCGAACCACGTTCACCACCTTCCAGCTCCACGAACTGGAACGAGCTTTCGAGAAGTCCCATTACCCGGACGTGTACAGCAGGGAGGAGCTGGCGCTGAAAGTCAACCTGCCGGAGGTCCGAGTGCAGGTATGTCCCACACACTAGACCACTTTTTTTTTCTTTTTTTTTTTTTAAGGTTTTCTTCATTGTGCAGACGCCTTTATTCGGCCTGCAGGCCTGCAGACATCAACGATGGCTGCTGACCAATAATAATGATTTTGTGGCCAAAACACAAAAAACATCTGTAACAGTTTCAAAAAATACAAAAACAGATGTTCTCAAAAAAAACATTTCCAATAGCCTATGACATCTTTATATGTTTGCATTAAACGTTTGTTTTGGGCAAAAATGTAGAGAAACGTTTTGTAACATATTAATTTGATCAGCTCATATTAATTTGATTTGTCATAAATATTAAAAAAATGAAACAATTTTCTTTCTTATGAGCTATTATTTACATTTTGTATTTCCCCAGTGACTTTTATATCAGTAAAACTATAACTGTTGGGGGAATTGGTGCAGGAGGGGAAAATGCCATTTCATTTCTTATTTGTTCGAATTTGAACACAGAAAAAGATTTGAAAAGTATTTACAAAATGATTACTTTGCTTAAGCAAAAGAGAAATTTGGCTTTTATCTCAGGTTCATCATTGAAAGAAATTTGAAAGTAAATGAGAAGTTCAATCAATTTCTTAAAATAGCCTATGTTTGTAACAATCTCTCATTGTATTAAATAGCATTACAATGTGATGCAAAATGCTTATTTCAATATCTGAAATCTTCACTCTCATTCTAGACATTTCTAAATGTTAAAATACTTCAACACACTATTATATTTTACACGATACATTTAGAAAGTCTGCAGGTTTTATACTTTAAATATGTTTGCTCTCTGTTCCTCTGTCTATTGAGTGTGAATCTGTTGATATGGGTGGCGAGCTGCTGCATGCAGTTGCCTTCACGGGGATAAATAAAGTTGCACTGAGTTGAAGTGAATTGAAAATTAAGATCCTCCTTTTTCTTTTCAGGTGTGGTTTCAAAACCGACGGGCCAAGTGGCGTCGGCAGGAGAAGCTGGAGGTGAGTTCCATCAAGCTCCAGGACACCTCTTCTCTGCTCTCCTTCAGCCGTTCTCCCACCAGCTCTCTGCAGCTGGACCCCTGGCTCTCCACTCCGATCACCACCTCCACCTCCCTGCAGTCCCTCCCGGGCTTCATCAGTGGCTCGCAGGGCCTCCCAGGCACTTACACCCCTTCTCCTCCCCCATCCATGCCATCTTCCTTGCCGGCCTCCTTCCTCAACTCCCCAGCCCTGGGACACAGCCCTCACCTACCCCACATCGGCTCCATGTGCCCCCCACCCCCGGCATACCAGTGCTCTGCAGATCCAAGGAACTCCAGTATTGCCTCACTGAGGATGAAGGCTAAGGAACACATTCAGTCTATTGGGAAGACGTGGTGATCTCTGAGTGGAGGTCAAACAGACATCAAGAACCAGAATGCATCTGTTGCATCTTTTTGAAAAACTGACTTCATCCTCTTGAGGATGGGATTGCATTATTTTGGAAGTTTTAAAAAGGTGACAAGTGCAGTTGACATCTAGGACTAGAGACATCCTCATCACTTGGACGTGACCTTCTGAAAAGCTTTGACACTAACTGTGAAACTACTGTAAAATACAGAACTACTGATGAGTCATAGTTTTCTTGTGTTTTTCCTCTTCTCTTTAATCTTTTCTGCAAACTTTGACTGTAAAGATTTATGTTCATTCAGACCAGTGTTACGTTGCCAATATAACAAAGACAGACCCAATTTCTACCCATCAGTATGTATTTATTCCACTGTTGTAAATGGAGTACTCCTCATTTTGATTCATCCTCCCCTGCTGGTTTTTGGAACCAAGTTCTTGGTTTTCACTATAAAAGATTTATCGAATGTGAATATTTTCTCTATACAATAAACTTTATATGTAAAATCAACAAAGAAAATAATGACTAATCAAGTTTTCCCAGAATATGTGTCACATTCGAGACATGCAGATTGGTCAATAGTCTGGAATGGCTGATAAACAAGGAAATATACAGTAGATTAGCATTTATGAGCTGGAGTTGTTCTACCAATCACATTTATGTAAAAATATGTACAGCATCATTATCACATTGTAGACAGAAGGTACAGTAGATGGAAATTGAGCAGACTTCAATGTGGAGAATTCTGAATATAGCACCCCTTAGTGGTGGATGACTATCAGGCTGGGGGGAAAAGTATTCATAAAGACAAATAAAACAAATTCTACATTAAATGCAAAGCACGTGATGCAAAGAAGCCTGTCGAAGTTTTCAGTTTTGAAAGATATTTTTTGCATTTTTTGTCTAAATCCCTGCTGCAGATTTTAATGTATCGCGTTTTCATCACTGACTGAGGTGTTATGGGCTCAAACAGGTCCATCCAGCCAACTGTAAATCCAATTGCAGATAAAAAAAAAATTAAAAAATCAGAATCTTTATAGTTCAAAATTGCGTACCAACTTACCATTTATTATTTAATTTAAATTTTAATCTGGCAGCGTTAACAAACAGAGGATGTGTCCCAGACTCGCTCTCTCTGTTTTAGGGAATGAGTTTGTCAACCCACTTATTCATCCTCATTAACTCCTGTAAACTTTATCCCATTCGCTCCTGGGATTAGACTCATAATGATGGGGTGAAAGTGGCTTGTACCTCTATTGTTTGCCAATCATCCGTGACAAATGAGGGAAGAGAAAGCTGTCCTTTGGCTTTAAGAGAAAGATGTGTGTTACCAAACTGTTTCAATTAGCATGTCCTATTGTCTACAACCCCTGAGGGCTAATAATAGCCCCCATCATCATCTATCCTACTGTCCTAAATACACACTGGAATTTGTGTATCTGGGATGTGTGTGTCATAGTGTGTGTGTTTCTTCCCTCTGAAGAGAAAAAGCAGCATCAGAGCTAATTGAATTGACCATAGACTTATTTCTGTGATCTGTAATTATGATCATGTTAACCCTTCCTAAGATGCTCAAAATGTTACACGGAAACTAGATGCTCTTAAAACGTATATTTTGCGCCATCTGGTGGTGTAAACAAGAGCATTACATACACTCAGACAACAACTGTGACTGTGACCTGTGATACCTATAACAGACCACTTAACAGAATGGTGTGCAAAGCATGCTCAGACATCAAAATGCAGTTATCACAAATTTTATTAAATTTAAATTAAACTCATTCAGATTTTTAGCTTATGTAACATAAAGTGCATGACATACATATTAGAAATTTGAAATTACTGATAAAATAAACTTCTATTGGTTTTCCAGTGTTTTCTTACAGCAGAAAAACTTTTCATTTTGGCTATGTGATTACAGGGCACATGTTTAGTAGATAATGATGACTGTTTTTGAAACAGAATCCTTCAGGTGGAGTCATTGCCTTGCAGTTTCAAAGCCAGAAGAAGCAGCTCTGACATCTATAATGCAGTGAAGAAATGGAGAAATACACATAACCATAACATATTATTTCCAAAACACTTGAAGGATCACTAATAGACACATAAATAAGGCGGTAAAATCCACAGACTGACCTCCCTGAGATATTTGTCTCTGTCCTCTTCTCTCCAGCCGCTGCGCACTCGAAGCAGCCTGTCTACAGTTTGTGCCTTCATCTGTTTTAGGTTGTTTTGTTGCACCAGAGCCTCCATCAGTCGCTCGTATCGGTCCAGCCCTGTGACCCCAGCTGTTTCTGGGGGTGTGAGGTAGTCACTGTCAGGGTTTGTCTCCTGCAGTGCAGGCAGGCTCTCAATGCTCTTCTTTCCCATCAAATGACCTGGTAAGTTGGACAGAGATGCATGAAGATTGATCTGTATGTGGTCAATCACACTGATTGACTACGTTTCGGTTAACCAACATTATCACAGGCCTTCATCTGTAATTACACTGCAATTATAGTTCACATTTTCACCATATTTCAAGGCTGGATGGTTGGAAAACTGTCTAATGCAGTGTATTCAGTAGCCTATATGCTTCCCATCAAAGAGCTTTCATGTCTAAAAGAGGTCACATTTGCTTAATTTAATTTAACTCAATATTCTGTAATTTAATTATCTTTCTTTCAATGACCAGTCTGGCATAAGCTGAGAAAAAAATACATGACTATTAGATAAACAGGGGTTATGAGAACTAACACACAGGTCATGAAGATCAATACATTATTTTTATTGTCATTATTATTAATTTTAAATACATTTATAATGCACAAAATTATTAGTGGGCAAATATTTACTCAACAGAGCAACAGTCTTGTACAGCCTACAGAATTTGCCTTTTAGTGTTGAGGCTAAAATATTTCTGATCCACTTTTGATGCAAAATGTGAAATGATTTGCTTTAAATATTATCACTTATCATGATGCATATTTCTAACTAAATCAGATCAACGAAGTATAATTTTAATTAAATCAATGTATCTCATTATCTTATGTGAAATGTTTCTCTTACCTACTGCCCAGTGGTTGCCGCGTGGGTACATTTTTCCAACAGCTGCTGCCGGACCCTCTGAGCAGTGCATCATACAGGGTATTGTAGCCAGAATAATAAAAACTGGCCACACTGGTCTGCAAGTCCATGAATAGCACAAGCACACTCCGCCCATGTTATCAGAGAAAATGTCTGATCTAAACAACGGTATATTAACCCTTACTTGCAGTTAATCAGCTTCACTTAACTTTAGAAAATCTCCACCATAGTCGACTTTTTCTTTTATTTGTGTGAACCGGCACCGCAAAGGGCGAGAAAAATGAAGGCGTCCAGCTGCACACTTGTTGAAGTTACACTCCCGATGACGCCTCTGATAGAAACGGCTAATGAGGAAAGTTAAGTGCCCCTCCTGACACAGTTGTACGTCAGCGGGTGTTTTTAAAAGTACCACGGTGCCGGCATCAGGATGAGAAAGTAATGATGACAAATGATCATCTATAGCCTATAATTATTAATGCGCGCTATTGTTTGTCAAGAGATTGTAGGGTGACTGCAGCAGGTGTCAACGTCATTTCACCATGATGGACGGGACTCGTGAGTAATTGCTTCCGCCTCAACGAGCATGATGGAGAAAAGCAGCGGTGGAAGAAGTATTCCGATAATTTACTCAAGAGAAAGTAGTCCCACTACATGTATTTCCTGTGAAATGTAGAAAAGTACTAAAGGTATTGATCATCTAAAATGGCACCTTTCAGTGTTATTGTATACAGCCACCTGTTATTTCTAAGGCATTAACATTTTAGCAGCACTTTAATGTTGAAGCCGGTTGAAGTGGAAATTTTAACAATTTATAAACTGAAGAAATTGATGTAACTAAAGCTTTAAGATAAATGTAGGAAAGTAAAAAGTTAAATATTTCATTCTGTGGAGAGGTAAGTGCATAAAATGTTGTACCTAAAAAACTACTTAGACTCCAAATCGATGCTGCAGAGCCAGATTCTACACTTTGTTCCTTGTCAAAACCAAAACCTGCCGCCTACATTACCCACAATAGAACCATTGTCCACCAACAGTTGTGTCTGAGATTCAGGTGTGTTATGCTAGTAGAAGCTAATGTGTAGCCTCAAGCCTCTAACCTCAAGTAGAGATGAGCAGCGGGCTACACAGGCTACATAACCCACACCACCAGATATTTTTCACTTTCAGGTTTGGAGTCTTCAAACCCAACTGATGCCGACTCTAGTGACATCACTTGAGCAATTTATCAGATCTCATGGCGCTTCCTCTGGACACAAAAAAAGTTTTTTTTTTTTTTCACAGACTATGAAAACACTTGGATGATGTCTTCTGTGCCCTGGTGGAGTTTTGTTAAGGCTGTCAAGGTTAGCTCACACAACTGTGTTACAAACTATACATTTACTAAGCAAGGAATGTCTCATATATTTAAGCTGCTTTTTTATTTTATATATATTTCAGCTGCTTTCCATTTTACATTTACTCATTTGGTAGACGCTTTTATTTAAAGCGATATATAAATGAGGCACAAAGGCTTCAGTGCAGTAGGAGACCTTGGTGTAAGTACTATGGGCTACATCTATTCAATACTTTTCAACATTTCAACCCTTCTTTTTTTAAAAATATGTCTCTTGTAAGCCGTTTCAGTTAATTCTAAATTTTACAAAAATACATATATCATCTCCAAATAAAGTACAAAATGTAAAAGAGTTCATTATGCACAATGGCCCCTTTCAGAGTGTTAGATTGACATTTTGTATATCATATCATGGGATTATATTTCTGATCAATTCACATGTGGCCAACACTTTGATGTGTTTTGTATGTAATATCTTAAACTTAGCTGTCAGATAATAGTGTAATACATTCCATATTTGCCTCTGTACAGTGTCGATGTGAATAAAAGTACCTTACATATTGCACAGTCCTAGAATAAATGTATAAATGTACCTAGTTGTTTTCTATGGTGGAAATGGCACTCTCCTAGATTTAAACAATGAGTGTTTCATCCAAATGCTGAGGAGAAACCTGCAGATAAGAACCTAATAAATCAGAATAGTATATCACTTAACAGCAGAATAGAATAATGTAATGCATTTTCTTTTAGCTGAGCTGTACACAACTCCAGTTTCTTTTGCCTATTTTTGCAAATAAAATGCATTCACTTGCTTTCTAAATATCATCTTGTTTTCAGAGCAGAGGACATGACGCAGAATTATAAAAAAAAAAAAAAATACACCAATTGCGAAGGAACACAAGTCAAACAAGATGCCAGGAATCACAATGCTGAAAATAGTCTTGCTGCAGACAACACCTGTGCTGTGCTCACTTACAAGAATTTGACAATGCGGCATATGTCAGCTTGTTGTGTATAGTCTACATCATTTATCAGTACAGTTTATTAGTGTACTGAACCCTCTGGAAAGGTCAACAGTGTGAATGAAGCAGTCCTCAAACACAGTGAGGTGCCCACGCATGTGTCTGTGTAAAATTCTCATACTTGACTGATCCTTTTCATGGCAGTATTGACGTACAGATTTCTGGAGGAAGAGAATAGATGAGGACAGATAAGGAGTCCATGCGCTCATCTGTGTGCGTTTGCAGGTGGGTAACATCTTGTGTTGAAAAGGTTGGAGGTTTCCTCTGGGTATTGTCAGGTCAAAACCCCACACACATCCCTGCAGGATATTAGAGAGTATCTCTGGCTCATAACGTATCAGATCCTCATCCAAGGCTGACCTTAACAAAACAGGATGAGTCACCTATGGTCAAAGGGCAGCAACAGGTAGGACACACAGAGCAGTGCCATCTAAAATATTTGTTGGTTTATGTTTATGAGAGACAACAAGATCCTGTGCATGATTGTGTACAAAGGAAATGTCTTAAGAAACTGCTAGATACAAGGTTATCACTGAAATACTAAGATTCTGTGTGGGTTCATTTTTTAAAAATCATACATGAAACTATTAATAAAGAAGTTAATTTTATGTTTTAAAAGTGTAATATCCTAATCCAATTTCTGAGTTATTTTGGTAGGTATCATTGAAATGGACTCTCTATATTATAACATTAACTTAAAAACCTTTCAAGAATCTTAACCATACTACACAAAGATGGTATGAACTGGATAACCACACGCTGAGAGGCCAAGGAGTTTTTACTCTTTCACTCACTTGTAACAGCCACTCTTGACTGATTGCCTGACTTTCATCACCACTGCAATCACTTCAGACGATGTAATTAAACCAAATGTAATTGGTTTCAAAGTCTGACTAAGCGTGGTCAGCTGCGTAATTCAGCATTTTGCACATAGAGGCTGGTAATTATAACTTTTGATTGTATGAAGTGAGCTTTAAACATTTTATGACTTTATTAAAGTGGGAAAATTGTTGTTCTTCATACATTGGTATCCCCTGATGTGTATAACTTCAAAAATCAATTAAAAGTAATGTTTTTAAAAAATAATACCTTGGTCCAACTGTAAAATTCAGTTTTTCTCTTTATGTCATTTGTTGAGTCAAGGGACACCAGGTGGCACTGTGGGGTGACACTGTGAGGCAGTACTCAGTCAGTCAATGATTTTTATGAGTCTTTTGCTGTGGGTAAAAAGTTGCACTAATAACCTTAGTGTTAAGAATTATATTACATTTGGATCTATATTATTACATGATGTGAGCGTACTTACAAGCATGAAACCATATCGATTTTACTTACATTTATAGATTATGTTTAGTTTATTAATATGTGCAATAATAAGTGCAATATTATTATCTCTTTTTAAACAATCATTAGTCATAATCATTAGCACATAATATAAATATTGAATTGTTAAAAGTTTTTGACACTCATTTTACTTCTTTCATGTACAACACAGTGAACAATAAGTGATAAGTCATGCTGAAAATCTCTATTTTTTAGCTGTGAAAATATTGCCCTTTCCGTTTTCTATTCACACAATTCATTCTTTTCAAATGTCATATGATACATTAAGTGCTCTGACTGTGGTGTCATGACTGTAATAATATTGGCTTTATGAAAAGTAAAAAAAGAGCCATTTAAGGGAGGCCTTTCAGCAAGAAAGTGTCAATTAAAATGGACAGTTTGCCATTATGAGATCTGTGTTGTTCATCACAGTTTTGACAAAATCACCTGGCAGCTGTCCACTCAGGGACCTTGAAGGTGGCGCTGGGATTTAAAAGAAACATATTGCTTTACTTGCTTTCATATTGTTACACAAGAGACAGAGAAGGAGTGTGTGTTTATATAAATGATTAATCCTTGTGTTACGAACAGGTTTTGGTTTTTAGTCAACTCAGTCCAAATTCCTCATTTAAAGGACAAATTTAACCCCTGAAAATTCAGCTTTCCCCTTTCAAAGTCAGGAAAATCCTCTTATTCATCACTATCTGACAGTATCACATATATATTGTGCAGCAGCTTGTTCCAGCTCTTCACAGAAGCTACATGAATGAAATATTCAAACTCAAGACTCCATGTTTCTATTTCTGCAAATACTGTGTGTGTTGGGCATAATTTTACATACATTCTCCCAAATGTGTACTTAGGGATCTCCGTTAAGATTTAAAATTAGATTTGAAAAATGTTTGGCTGCACAGCATTAGGTTCAACTAACTGACCCACCTCTAAAGAGGTGATATTAATGATTTCCAGCCTGGGGGTCTGGACCTTCCCTAAAGCTGATAAGATAATTAAAGGTATCAGAAATTAATTCTGGTTTCTGTTACACAAAACTGTAGGGGTACAGGAAATTATGAAGGTAATATTAGGATTTTTATAGGGCTACAAAATACTAAACATTTTAGATCTGGACAAAAAAATACTACTAATACTATACATATTCCATCATCACATGATATAACTAACTGGAAAAATCCCTATTCAGGAAAATGGGATGAGAAGCTTATAGCAGCTCCCCTTTGCAGCTTATAGCTGACATGAATGGAGGCAGTGACGTCATGTGACTGTGTGTCTGTTAGGGGTGGGCAGCACGGCAACCTCAGCCTCCTCTATGAATCT